CCCCAAAACCCCAAAACCCCAAAACCCCAAAACCCCTGCGTAAATATAGTATATTGATTAATTTGTTGTAATTTATAACTCCCAACTTCAAATCCGACCTTCACTACTTTTCCCTTCTTCCACCCCATCTCTACCCTACCCCACCTAAATCCCCAACAACCCCCAAATCCATCTTTTAGGGACCCAAATCTCCCTTTAACCCCCTAAAAAAACCAATTCTCATTCTAAAACCCATTCTGGCTCAAATTCCCAGTCAAAGTTATCCTCATCCAACTTTTTTCTGGAAGAAAGCCACTGAAGCCGCCAAGCTTTAAACCTAGAAACCATGTGAAAGAGTAGGTTAGAAGGAGGATTAGAGGAAGGCGTTAAATGCAGAAGGTGACTCTAGAGGAGAAGTTTATCGGATTTTTTAGATTTTGGAATTTTAGGGATGTTAAGGAACGTCTGATAAGACTCCGTCCTGGACTGAGTCAGCAACGATGGAGTTTGGCCTAGGGATGGGGAGGTTGGCAAAGCCTGGGTTTGGAGGGGCGTTTTGGTGCGGCCAGTGGTCTTTAGGGTCTGGCATTCCGAGAGCAGTTATGTTTTTGGAATTGTTTAAATTAGGTTGTTTGGAGTTTGTAACCCATTCATCATTGGGAGATTTTGAATCAACCTTATCCCCCTTCATGTTCAAAGGGTAATTAGTGGGATAAACATTTTGATTAGTGTTGTTCTGGATGTTCTCATCAGCTTGAGGGATTCCACTCTCAATACCTTCTCTTTGCATTCTTCTTTCTCTTAGTTCTTCTTCAGCTTTCCTATCCTCTAAAACAAACATACTATTAGTAATCTCATAAGAACAAAACTAAGGTCAAAGCTGATTCAAATGTCTAAGGTTACCTTCTTTCTCTTCTTTTCTCTTGTAATAACGTGAAATACAGTAACAGCCTCAGACTCAGAATACAAGAAACAAGAGTAGTAATACTAATCCGATTATCGGTAGAATTATACATGTAACTGTATCACCATCTCAGATGATTCCTGCCTTGTCTCTGTTCCTGGAGCTAGTTCTACTCTTAAGTTCCCTTCTAGGATCCTTAAGTAATCCTGAATCTTTTCCGATTAAGTTATTAGAAAAAGTTTGCTTGCTTCCAAAATTGGAATCCAATTCTATGTCTTGTAAATTTATATTATTGCTCCGAAGCATTGAGAATATACTGTCTCTTAGAAATGGTTGCTCTAGATGGTTCAGATTTATAATAATAATGTGTTTAAGGATGAATTATTACCAACCCCAAATCTCACATTGTCAAAACTGTAAGTGTATATTCTATATTTTTATTCCTAAATGGGGTTTTGGGGTTTTGGGGTTTTGGGGTTTTGGGG